CGTGGGTGAACAACTGCATCGGGCGGCGGAACTATCGATTCTTTTTCTTCTTTTTAATCTCGCTCTCGATACATATGCTAAGCATATTCGGCTTCAGCCTGTACTTCGTTATGTATAACAAGAACCTCACGCAGGTTGAGCCTATCGTCTCGTATCCTTTTTTAATCTGTTTAGACCCTTAGTAGTATAAGTTAGTAGTGGGTTTCTGAGACAAAAACTTCCCTTTTAAACATATTGTTATCTCTGTTTTGTAAAAGATAATGACAGTGGTGAGTGATGACAATATGGTTTATACAGAGATTTCGTTCTTAGAAACCTACGGTAAGTCGGTGGTTAAAGCAATGAGTTTTTTATACTTAAATTATATAACTTAAAATACATCTAGTTATGAATTTTTTTATCACAAAACTAAAGATTTTTTTTGTTGTTTTAAATACGTATATATTTTGATGTAATTATAACTTAACAGCATGTAATCAGTATGGTGATAATGGGTGTAATAGTTCTATTAGCTATTCCCATATTCGGTTTGACGGGGTTCCATATGGTGTTGGTGTCACGTGGACGCACCACCAACGAGCAGGTGACGGGCAAGTTCACCGGCGGCTACAACCCTTTCTCCAAGGGATGCTGGTACAACTGTTGTTATACGCAGTTCGGACCACAATATCCTAGGTAATGTTTATACAGGTTACAAAAATATTGCTAAAATTAAACTTAAAATAAATTTGGAAAACCTTTGCGACCAAAAGTTGTGTTCTGGAAGAAGATGTGGGAATCAACATTTGGATTTTGGACAAATGTATTGTCATTTACTACTGTCTATAATTTCTTCACATTAATACGGGGCCATTCATTAATTACGTCACATGAATTTCATGATTTTTTGACCCTTCCCCCGTGGTTGTTACAGTCGAGCATGTTTATGGGAACCCCTCGATACCTAGTGTGACATCACAAATGTTATTATACAATTGTACATTTAGAAATTCATGAAATTAAAAAAAAACAATATTCCGATTGTTTACTTCCGGTACTTAAGTAGGTAAAATGTAAATTATGATGTTTGGAAAAAGTGTGATATCACAAAATGTGGGACCCCGTCCCTTGTCACACTTCGTCGACCCTCTCTTACCCCTAAATATGTGACGTAATTTATAAATGAACCTATATGGCTGGCATTTTTAACAAGTCCTGATAAGTTACTTAAGATAATTTTTAATAATTCCAGTCTGGTCCGACCATCGAAGTATATCTACAAGGGCGGCAAGAAGCGCCGCGACCCCGGCATCGTGGGGCAGTCGGCGTCCGCTATATCGACCATAGCGACCGACACGCACCAGGTAAAGACGTACACGGCGGACAACGGCAGTGCGCACCGGGCGGTCGGCGCGCACGCGCACTACAACAAGGTGAGAGCCAGACGCTTGCTAACGCGCACCACGCACTACGCACCATCCTGCTCGAAGGACCATTTTATTATAACTTTTGTATGACACTATTTTATTTAAAGGGATTTGATAATGATTTACCTTACTTGAATATTACATAAGAGTTTTATTAACATAATATAATTATAGCTATATTTTGGGGTATTTTTATGATATATATATATCTATGATTCGTTTATTTCGTTCGTTCTTCGTTTATATTTATTTTAATATACTGTCTCTCTGTATCTTAATGTCCAAATTTATCACAATTTTATGACAATTGATTTTCGTGATTTTTTTTTAATTTCGTTATTTTTATTATGAAATGACTATTAGTTTGTGTCGGAAACCACTTCTTCAGCTTTGGCAATTAAACTAAATATCCAATTTACCACAAATAATTTTTCTAAATTATGTTTTTAATATTAATGAGTATATTATATCGGTGTTTATTAAAACTTTCTTAAAACTTTGTTTTCACTCAATAAGATTAGTTACAAGTTTCATTAGAGTTCAAAATAGCTTGAATAAATGATTATCGGTAGTGGTATCATCTAGTTGTCATGCTTGTAGAGCAAACAATAACATACCTTCAATTCACAGCACAAGTTATATTTTTGCACAAACACTTTTATATAATAATGTGAATTGAAGACATGAATATGTCTGGCTCTCTAATGTTATATTAAATACATAGGTGGGGGGTTAAAATATTAGATTTTATAGAAAAAAACATTATAATTAAATTATTCAAACTTTCGTGAGACATTATACTAAAATGATATATAAACACGGTTAAACACTCACGTATATTCGTCCGGTGGCGGCACCGACTAGTTTCGAGCCCATCGGGGACCCTTCATCAGGATGAGTGGTACTGGTATTATTTCGCGGACGTGGCCCTCAGCTCACTGCGAGCGTGAGTGAGCGACGGGCCGCGTCGTATATACGCGGGTGTTTAGCCGTGTTTATATAATATATCAGTTTAATATTATAATTTACTATTATTTGTGTAGAATACTAGCTGTCGTCCGCGATTAAAAAAACATAATTATATGTATGTCAAATTTCATCGAGATCTGTTCAGCCGTTATGGAGATTCAAACAAACATTCGCATTTATAATATTATATAATAAGATTTTTGTTCTACCGTACTTATGTAATATAACACTAACATATTTGTATGAGGTAAATTTGATGTTGGATTTATGTATTGTGCTTTCTGGTGTTATATCAGACCAACATTTTGCAGCTTTTCTCGTATTTTGTTTATTATATATGTACAGTTTTTTTTGGTCTTATTAAATTAATAACCGTGGGTTTCCGAGTCCAAAATATCCGTTTAAAACATAATGTTATCTCTATTTTGTCAAAGATGAAAGACAAGGATGATGATATATTTTATACACAGATTTTGGTGTCAGAAATCCACTGTGAGATGTTTACTTTTAGCTTTTGCCGTTTCTACAGAATTATTTTTATCGCACTGATTTACATATTCTTCTCTTAATTTGTAATTTACGATTACCTTTAAATTCAAGCATACATATGTATACAGAACATAACACCATAAAATACTAAAAAGAAAGATAAAAACCAAATGATAATAGACAAAAAATATTGTCGAATGAAATAAAAAAACACTTCCATTGCTTCTTTTGTTTGTGGTCGTCACAATGCTAAGGTCGAGCAGTCACAGCATTCCCGGAAGTGTTCATTGTTGTGTTTGTATGATTGGTTGTGGTGATGTACGGCGCTCGTAAAGTTGTGTGATATTGCGAAGCTGTCGCCGGGTCGTGAGGAGCACGAGCACGAGGGTGAGCTGGAGGGTCCCGGAGCGTCGCAGAGTGCTGATTGCGAGCCGACACCGCCGCCGCTGCAGCGCCGCGGCTCGGCTGCTAATCTGTTCCCGCCGCCAGAGAGACAACCGCGCCCGCATCACTACCCCCGACTTAGTCCACTGCCCAGGAACACCGGGTATGTAGCTTAGTTTTTTTTTCATATATATGTAGTTGCCTGCGACTCTCTTCGCGCGAAAGTTAAAAAAAAGATAAGTAGTAGTCTATATGGTCTTCCAGACTCTATATCTATTTGAAATTTCAGCGAGATCCGTTGAGACCTTCTGCAGATACCGTCTGAACATCCATCCATCCATACATACAAACGTTGACATCGTCATTGTTTGACAAAGCAAATTTAGGTTTATACGAATAGGAATCGTAATTAATACTTAATGGGTTAATATAAAGAATCACTAAGGGTCTCCTTAGCGATTAATTAAAGACTTAGTGCGGCAGGTTATTGTTAATTTATGTCAGTAATTGGTAACATTTACAGTCACGGTACGACGACGTCTGGCTACCGGGTGGTGATGGAGCCATTGCGGTATGAGACGGGAGCGAACGGTGCGCGGCCCTCGCCCACCATGCAGCAGCGCATCAAGGCGCTCGGTGTGCCCACACCACTAGCAGTCAGCAGCCCTGTTAGAAGGTACATAATTATACTTCTACCATACATCGTACATACATCATTCTACATACACTTGAACGAATGCTCAATTGAACTCTGTCAAGTATTAAAATATTGAATCACTCATTTTTGTACTCTCAAGGTTATTTGACCCGATGGGTATAAGTCAAATTATATTATGACTACTCACTAGCGCCCTCATGTCAAAGACAAAAGTCACAAGATCCTCTTTACTATAGTTGTCATGTCATTTTTTATGTGTAAGTAGGTTTTATATATTCTGTCAGAATCAACCGCGATACTAGCGCCCCTCACCGGTTCAGATATTCTTGTTTGTATCAAGTATCAAGAAGGTTGAGATGAGTATTAATGGATTAATTGGTGGTACATCAAATATTACTGTGGGTTTCTAAGACCAAAATCTGTTTAAAACATTATCTGTTTTGGGTAAAGATGACAGGGATGACGATATTTTTATACAGAGATTATGGTCTAGCAAATCAAGAGTCACTGATAGTTATGAAAAACAATATTAAAGAAAAAGAGTCGAAATTTAATATTCGTGTTAAAAATCTTCTTATTTGTCTAATTCCAAAGTTATTACAAGCGTCGGTGTCTCAAGGGTCAAGCACTTGACTTGCAATCTGAAGGTCCTGGGTTCGAATCCCGCCATGTACCAATGTGTTTTTCGATTTCCTAGTTACATATATACATTTATCCGACGTTCTTACGGTGAAGGAAAACATCGTGATGCAACCTGCACATATC